TACGTTAATTTGGTTGATTCACCTACTCTGATTTGTTTTGTACATCAAGTGAATTTGTTTCTTAACTTTTGTTATTTGTTTTCTTAAGTAGGTTTCTTAAGAAAGAAAAATCTTGTAGTGGGGTGCTACAAGTAAATGCTTCTTGGGGTGCAAGAAATGGTTTCTTTAATAGAGTAGAAGTGTAATGCATGTAGTATTATGATTGTAAAACTTTTGATATTAAAGATCAGTGAAAAAACTCAATTGAGTTGATTGGGAATTGTAGACACTAATTTTTGGCTGTGTTGAGAACTCGAAAGTGGGAAGCTTCAAAAATAAAGGAAATGTCCCCAATAGGAGATGTACAATCAAGGATACTTCAAACGGAGGCAACGGACCCCTAAAAGGCACTCCAAGCACTACTAGAAAATTACTGTTCAACATCGTCAATTCTACATCGGTTTAGGTAGAAACGATGTAAAAATTGGATGCGGTGGCATATTCGTAAATATGAGTTGAATGTAAAGCAAATTTACATCGGTTATGTAAAAAACCGATGTAATTATTAAGCATTTTACATCATTTTTAATTGGACCAATGTAGATTTAAATGCGCGGTGGCAAATTTGTAAATATTTATAAGTAGATCTACATCGGTTTTCAAAATAACTGATGTAGTATTACCTCACGTGGAAGCCCTTTAGCTTCTTCACACATTCTCTGTCTCTGTTCTAGGGTTTCGTCCCTTCACATTCCATCCCTTCCGCTGCGCCATCGTATCAGAATCCGAACCTCCTCCTCGCCAAATCCTCCCAAGATCTCCTCCGATTCTCTGACCTCTCTAACCCCGTCGGGCCCCTCTCCGCCCTCCCCCTCGCCCACGGCTCCATCCTCTTCCTCGCCTACGACGGCAAGCGTCGCGTCCTCGGCCCCACCTTCAACCTCGCCAGCTCCTTCAGTCGCAAGATGACCATGGAGATGTGCCAACTCGCCAAGCAGATGCGTGTCGCGTGCCAAGAGAATCCCCACTGCCAACTCGTCTCCTTCAACCGCGATTGCGCCAATGCCTTCCAGCACTACGTCATCGACACCCTCGCCTTCGCCATCAAGCGCGGTGGCTTCATGTACAACACCGTCTCCAATGACGGCAAGGTCGAGGTCGACTTCATCTATGGCAACACGATAGCCTTTAAGCTTTTTTTCGTCTCTGATTTCTTTTTTGTTAAATTGGTAACCAGCACTTCGGAGTTTGATATCTAATAAGATAATTGAAAAATATAAAACAATACTATGTGTGCGAGAGCGATTGTCATATTGTTTGTTTAGGCGAGTCCAGGCTGCCGCAGATGTTTCGGCAGAAGTCATAACAATTTGAGCATCACTGCTGCATGATGCCAATAGAGCGAGATAGACATAGTGGTCTTGGCGTTTCCAATGAGCATAATCGGGGTTGTCAATGAGAGTGGAATTGGATTCAATGTTGGGTGAGGGACAGGGGACATCACCAATCACATAACCAAACAAGTCATTGGCCTTGAGAAGATGAATAATTTGGTTGTACCATGTGTGATGGTTGCTAGAGTTAAGCTTGATGGGAAGGGTATAGGCTGAGGTGAGTTCAATGATGGGTTTGGAAGAGGTAGCCATGATAGGATCGTATTTGCTGTGAGGCTTAAGGCTTAAACTGATACCATGTGAATAAAGGATTTGATTGAATAATTTCCAAACTTGCAGAACATGTGTACATGGTATGCATTTATAACCTACACCATAAAGCTAAATTATAGGGATTGTTACAACAATAGTAAATGACAAATAAATGAATATTTTGAATTTGAAATTGAGGAGCAATTTTAGGAAAGGGAATATTATGACTTAATGACTCCAATACTTGATGCCCTCAACCCACACCCAACATGACCAAGGCAAAGAGCCCCTAATCTGCATCACGCTTGGCGCAATGACAATTTTTTGCACTTGACAAAATTGCGATATGGCTCCAATGACTTGTAAAATCACTTCCAATCCAGCATGCAACTCACAATATCACACTTATACATCACTAACAACTCAAATAACTAGAGAATTCCAACATGCAACCATCAAAGATTCTAAATCATCAATTTTCTTTCATTTTATGAGGAACAAGAAGAAAATCAAGTATCAAGATTTCCATTCTTCAAATCAACAACACAAACATGATTTGATGAATCCAAGCAACATATAATTCGTACAATACAACAAGAATCAACTCTGCAAGCTTCCCTTAACTCAAATCACTAAGAAAAGAAGTATAAGAAGGAAGAGCACAATCCTCCAAGCTTTCTCTACACAACACCACCAACACTTGATTCTCAGCTCTCGAAGCTTTGAATCTCCACTCCACTCCTACAACTAAGCTCTAGGGATGAATTAGAGCGGTTCCAATTATAGCGGTTCCATGATGTTCGAAGAGAAAATAGTGTCCTTTGCCTCCAAAACCTATTTCTCTAATTTCTCTCTAAATTTTTTAAGGAAATAAACATATGAAATTCAAATCTTAAAAAGAAAAACCCTTATATACCTTCTCCTAAACTTAGTCAACTTTAACATCAACTCGTAAATAATTTACTAGAACATCTATGATGTTCTTTAAATAAATAATTTACTTCATCTCTTTAAGTAGGTTTACACGTATTACTTGAATTTTAAACAATACATTTAATTATCATTCTAATTCAAGTCCTTATTAAAAAAATTTGTTTAACTTACAAATATATTTACTCTTTTTCATGGTCACACATAAATACTAAGTAACTCACAAAAATAATTGTTCATATAGATTACAAGTATAAACGGGTCAGATTGTGTCAAATTTAAACTATTTTAGTGTGAAATTCAATTAAACTTAATCAAGTTAGGTTGGGTTAGATTCATGAACTTTTTTTTCTTCAAATGACTTTACCATACTACAATCGGGTTGGACCAATTCAAGTCATCAAATTGAGTAATTAAAAAATATATTTTAAAAAGTTTAAACCAATAAAAAAAATACTTAATTAAAATTTTAGTACATAATTCAAAGTACAAATAACAATACAACAATCATATATAAGAAATCACAAATATCACAAATAATCAAACATTGTGTTACTAATGTAACAAACTTTGAATTGCATAACAAGTAGAATTAAATTATTCTTCTTACTGTGTTCCTTCTTCAATTTAGTCAATTAACTCATTACTATAATATTTTATTAAAAAAAAAAGAAGGTAGACTTAAATATATGCAGATGAGTATATTAAGCATTTTGTTATGTGTAATATTTTTAATTTAACTTTATAATTTATTATAGGTCAGGTTGATTCGAGTTTATTGGATAACAAATGTCTTGATCTGATAACCAACCCATTTATAATCAAGTAATGTAAAAATTATTCAATCCGATTCGATGTCTCAACTTAACCTACAAAAATGTAATTGAGTTGATTTTGATAAGTCAAATTTATGGATGAGTAACTACTCGCTTACACTATTAATTTAAATAGCTCTTTAATTTTGAACGATCTAAAATTACGTGTGATATTGAAATAATATTTTATTCTTAGTTAATTCATAAAGACACCTTTAGAAATGCTCTTATAAATTATTCATTGCGAGACAACAATGTTAAAAAAATGAAACAAGATACAATGTGCCTGTTAGTTCAAATTATTTTTTTTCTTATAAAAACATTTTTAAATAAAATAAAAAAAATTTATGTTTGTTTAATTAATCTTTTTTTTTTAAAAAAAATCTATTTTTTTAGAAACAAATATTATCTACTTCAAAAACATGTTAACAGAAAAAGAAAATTCTAGTTGGCATTTGAAACTGCTATAATTACAAAATGAGGCTCAAATTTGTAATTTTTGTCATTAAAGTAGCAGAAAAAAGAGAGAAGCTCACACACCCACTGCAAGTATAATTAATTCCTTTTGCAAAATCATATGCCGAAAGCTATTGCTTACTTTTCAATACTTGTAATCTAAGGTAAGTACCCACCAATTCAAGAATCGCTGACCCACAAAAGAAAAAAGAAAGAAAGGAACTGTTTCATTTTACTATGTAATAAAAAAAATTATTATTAATTTTAAGCAACAAATGAACTAGTTTGTCACAGATATCCAAATTAACTTTTAGAAAATAGAAATATTCGATGAATGACCATGGATTACTATTTGGTGACCCCAAAAGCCACACTAAACAGAGGACATTCCAAGAGAGTCGTGTTTCAATAATAATAATAATAATAACATAAATAAAATACTATATTTTTGTTAGGTACAAAGTACCTATATCTATTAATTTCAATCATCAGAAAATTTCGCTAATATTTTTATAAAGAGTTAAATAATCATGCATAGATAGTATAAAATAATTTTATATTATCAATCAATCAGATATTATGATTGTAACAACTTTTTAATTATTATTATAAAAATTAACAATTTATTATTCATATAGTTTATGGTTAGATAATAGTATAATTATACACTATTAATACATTACCTATTTTCTCTGTTTTTAATCGCCATTTTTTACTCTCAAATATGATATTTTAGTTAAAAAAAGCTAAGTATTTTTATTTTTTATTTTATTTTTAATATTTATTTTGATCTTTTAAATTTTGATTAATTTGATTATTCTAAAACAATAATCACTGTGGGCTTTAGAATAAAATTTTGAATATTTTATATTAATTCAAAATGTTACTTTTGTCTCATTGGATTCAACGAAAACTACTAAAGCGAACTGATATAATATACTTGAAGTCGTGAAAATAAATTCACCAGTCAACCAAGTAATTAAAATTTCTAATATGCTGTTGTGAGATTTTCTCTTCACGCCATCTTCACTTTTATTATAACCCTTTTTATTTAAACAACAATTAATCTTTATGTAAATAAATCGAAAGAGAAATTATCATTATTTTATAAAGACTAAATTATCTTAAATCAATAAGATAAAAGATAAAAAATAATTTAAAATAGGAAGTGGGACAAAAATGTAATTTAACTTTAAACCCTGTTGTATTACTAATTTACTATCTACCATGGTACAGCAATTATATGCAGTGGCAGCAGAGGATGAAATTTGGAGACAACACACCAATAACAAGAGTAGCAACAAAAAAAGTGTAATGTTCAAAATTTTCTTTTGTTTTTTTATTTTTATTTTTGGTCTTGTTATATACATTTGAGTTTGAGGATGGATGCATGAGGGGTGGGAATCAGAAGGAGGAAGTGTAGTCAGCGTAAAACTCGGTGACTCCAGAAGCGGCCCAGAGCCGTTGATTGTAATCATCGAGCATATCATCGGGCACGAAGGGAGAGCGGCAGAGAGGGCAGGTTTTGTGATCGTGATCGATCCAACGGTCCACGCAGGCGCGGTGGAAAATGTGCTTGCAGTTCCTCATGCACCGAATCTCCTCCTCCGAGGAGAATTCCAACAGACACACCGCGCACGCGCTCTCCTCGGAGTCCCCGAACCTCGCCACCGGCAGCAGCTCGCGGATCAGCAGCGCGGAGGCGGAGGGCGGGCGCGGCGCGGCGTCGGGGGCGGCGGGGTCCGGCCAGGCGACGTCGGTCTGGAGGAAGTCGGAGAGTCCGAGGGTGTCGAAGAGGAGGAATACGAGGTTTCGGAGGAAGCCGAGGAAGGCCAGCGTTTGAATAAAGGGGTTGGGGAAAAAGACCTCCGCGTAGCCCACCGGAAAGCCCATCGGAGAAGAAAAATAATTGAAAAGAGAGAGAGAGAGAAGTGAGGAAGAGAAGCTTCGAATTCGGGCAGAGAGTGTGAGCCACAGCTCACTTTAAATGCATTATTAGTCCGTCCAGCAATTATTAAATGCTCTGTTAACAAGGGTACGGAGGCGCCATTTTTTTATTTTATTTTTTTTCTTTATTCTTCACAAAAAAAGGTGCCAATTAATTATTACAAATTAAATATAAGTAAGTACAAATCTTGAATTTACGTTCTATTACGCAGTATAATTTCTAGTAATAAATAAAATAGAAGACCCATTGGTTCCTAGTTTTATTATATACTTGAATCAGTTGAATGTTACAAAAAAACAAAATCAATGTTCCAAAAAAAAATACAAATTTAATGTACTAATAAACTATATAAATAAAAAAATAATTAAATTTTTTAGACTAATATAATAATTGTAATTAATTATAGAAAGAAATCTTATAAATAAAATGTATTAAACTCTTATTTCAAGTTAATTAAATTTTACTGAATTATCTTTTATTTAAGTATAAATTTTTGGGGGAAAAAACTTCTCCTAAATATTAAAAAAATTTATATAATAATTATAATTAATTAATGAATAAATCTTATCAATAATATATACAAAACTCTTATTTACAGTTAATTGAAATTAAAATTTACTCAATTATCTTTTATTTAGGTAAAATTTTAGGGGAAAACTTCTTCTAAATATTAACAATTTTATATAATAAAATATATATTAAATCCTTATTTTGAGTCAATTAAAAATTATTAAGGAGGTGTATTGGATTGAGTTTTTAAGAGTATATCAAAATTTGGTAACATTCAATTAACATGTCAAGATTTTTTTTAGAAGTATATCAAAATTTAGTGGTATTCAATTAAATTTCTTTTTTATTTAAAAAAACTTGTTGGTTTTTTAAAATATAGAGATTTTAATGAATTATTTTGATAGATGAATTTCATAAGATTTTTTTGTAAAATTTACATATAGGTCACTTATTAAAATTTCATCAAAATTATTAAAATTTCACAATTTTTTTTCTTTTATTTTTTTTTCTCTGTCTAATTTGCTTCTCTATCTTTTTCTTCCTTCTGTTTCTTCCCTAACTCATCTTTTTTTTTTCTCTCTCTTTTCATGTTTTCTCTACTTATATTATTTTTTTTTGTTCATTTATCTCATTTATTTATTCTTCTCTCTATTTTCCTCCTATCTTTTTCATCATTCAATATTTTGTTATATTTTTATCTATCAATATTGATATATAATTTATCAATACTTGTTTTTTAATTATTAAATATATAAATTTATCTTTGAATTATTAAATATTATAAATTGTTAAATTTGTTTAATTATTAAAATTTAACAAATGTTTATAGTCAGTAAAATTTAATATTGAAATATCAAATTTTTTAACATATATTAAAAATATATTTTGACAATTCTAACGATTAATAAATATTATAAATTTAAACATATTGTTCAATTTTAATAGTATGAATGAGAAAATATAAATGCATAGAAGATTTTATATAGAGATATGTTACTTAGGAGATCATGAAACTATAATTAATTGCTTATTAAAAGATTGAAAAATTTATTTTTTCTCTTTATTCAAACCTTGACATTTCTATGTGTAGAAAAATTGTATTATTTTTAAAAATTTATATAATAATTATAATTAATTAATGAATAAATCTTATCAATAATATATACAAAACTCTTATTTACAGTTAATTGAAATTAAAATTTACTCAATTATCTTTTATTTAGGTAAAATTTTAGGGGAAAACTTCTTCTAAATATTAACAATTTTATATAATAAAATATATATTAAATCCTTATTTTGAGTCAATTAAAAATTATTAAGGAGGTGTATTGGATTGAGTTTTTAAGAGTATATCAAAATTTGGTAACATTTAATTAACAAGATTTTTTAGAAGTATATCAAAATTTAGTGGTATTCAATTAAATTTCTTTTTCATTTAAAAAAACTTGTTGATTTTTTAAAATATAGAGATTTTAATGAATTATTTTGATAGATGAATTTCATAAGATTTTTTAGTAAAGTTTACATGTAGGTCACTTATTAAAATTTCATCAAAATTATTAAAATTTCACAATCTTTTTTTTTTTCTCATTTATTTTTTTTCTCTGTCTAATTTGCTTCTCTATCTTTTTTTTTCCTTCTATTTATTCCCTAACTCATTTTCTTTTCTTTTTGTTTCCCTCTCTTTTCATGTTTTCTCTATCTTATATTATCTTTTTTTTTTGTTCATTTATCTCATTTATTTATTCTTCTCTCTATTTTCCTCCTATATTTTTCATCATTCAATATTTTTTGTTACATTTTTATCTATCAATATTGATATATAACTCGAATTTGCATATCAGATTGAGTCACACACATCGAGATAGAGACGCGTTGATTTGCACGCAAGGACGGAGCCAAGGGGGGACCTACGGGTGCCACGGCCCCCCCAACAATTTTAATTTTTTTTTATATACATATATATTACTATATGGCAC